GCTTTGACACAAGACTCATCAATAGCTCAGTGTTTCCCAGGCACATCATTATCTATCAGATCTGCCAAATCTAATACTTAACAACAATGTCTTCAGAACTGTTGACATACCCTGGGACTGTCTGTCTTGTAAATCACCAAGAAAGATGACAGGTTTCACAGATCTCATCGGGGATAAAAAGAAGGGAGGCACACACCAGTCTGCTCGCTGGCACAGGGAACTCAGTGAACTATGTGGATTTCAACAGACGAATAAAAAATGTCTATATCCCCATTTCTTATTGAGACCCAGTAAGAAACCACTGACTTGGTCTATTTATCTCAGCTCCTGACTAAACTGTACATTTTTGAAATGCACAGATAAATGATCGGGCAGATCACAAGATTTTGTGACACCACAAAGTGATGGGGAAGGGTTGAGTCAGGCCAGCAGATGAGGCAAGCTACAGTCTCCTCGCCCGCCCCCCCCACCTTAATCACAGATATAACAACAGAAAGATCCTGAAAAACAAATGGCATCAACAAAATAAGAAGCATCTTCCACAAGTCAGACACCGTAAGGAATCCTTGAAAGCAAAAAGAGGAAGAAAGCAAATGGATGGGAAGATAACACAGTTGCAAACACCAATGTGGTAAAAGGCAACTATGGGCACAGCTGATGCCCAGAGCCCAAAATGCCAAGGGTTCAACCAAGCCTCCTGTGCCAGCACCCAGACAGCCAACTCCACCACACTTCTGCCCTCCCTCTGGACCTGGACACACCTGGGCAGACATAACACAGCACCCACCTGCCTGCCGTGAATGGTACATGTCGGTACTATGTCCCGAGAGACAGCAGTTCCCAGGGCGCACTTGTGTCCAGAGACTGGCCGGCAGCATTGCCTACAATGGCCCTCTGGAAGCACGCACAACATTACAAGAATAACCATGTCCTTAGAAAATCCAAGAATGGTAAGACACTTCCATACAAACAAGAGATTGTGGAAATTAAAACCGATCCTTGGGGAGAAAAAAAACTCAACTGACAGATGATACAGCTGAAATGCACCTCACTCACGAAGCTAGGAGATCCCTTAAGGAATTCTTTTAGAATGGAACACAAAAAAAGCTGAGGGATTTAGAGGAAACCAAAACCAAAGGTCAAAGTACTCTTGTATAAAGAGGATATACAGAGAAAAATACAAAAGACGAAAGAACCACGAGGGGGCCCAGCATGGTGGCTAAAGTCCTCGCCTTGAATGCACCGGGATCCCCTGTGGGTCCCGCTTCCAGCTGCCTGCTTGTGGCCTGGGAAGGCAGTCGAGGACGGCCCAAAGCCTTGGGACCCTGCACCCGTGTGGGAGACACAGAAGAAGCTCCTGGCTCCTGCCTTCGGATTGGCTCAGCTCCAGCCCCTGTAGCTGTTAGTTATTTAACGACGTTCTAAAAGTTGATATGTTATTACGCAGAGCTAATTCCCGCAGCTTAGTTCTTTTACCGTGTGAGCCGAAAACACCAGGCGCGAAGCAAGGTACTTCAGGAGGCTTATTCCGGCAGCGGCAGGAACAGGCCGGCTGTGGCGGGAAAGCGAAGAGAAAGCGAGGGCGGAGCAGCACCTCGGGCTCAGCCTGCTCAGGTGGCGCCTCAGGGTGTGGGGGGCGGGGATTGAGGGCAGACCCCAGGGGATTGGTGCCCGGCATTGTCACAGACGATTGCCTAAGCATGATTGGTCAGCGGGCGGGGCTGGGGGAGGGGCCGGGAGATTGGGGGTGGGACTCTCAGGTGACCGCGCTACATCTGATTGGTGGACGGGCTGACCGGCGGGAATTCCGTGAGCTGTGATAGGAGCAGGAAATAGCACCGAGTCCAGGGTGGGATGGTCGAATAACTCCTTGCAGTAGCCACTTGGGCAGTGGATCAGCGGACGGAGGACCTTCTTCTCTGTCTCTCCTCTTCTCTGTATAACTGACTTTCCAATAAAAATAAATAAATCTTAACCCAAAAAATGGCAAGAAAATGTCCCATAATAATAATTATAATAAATATCGATATCGCTAATTAAAAAGGAGTAAAACCCCACTCCTAAACATATTGTGGTACAATTTTATATTAGGAATTCTAAAGAGCACTCAAAGACATAACTTAAAGGGGCTTGCTGTGGCACAGCACATTAAGGCACCACCTGCAACAACAGAATCCCTCAGGGAGTACCAGTTTTTTTTTTTTAAGATTTATTTTTATTATTTTTTTATTGGAAAGGCGGATATACAGAGAGGAGAGACAGAGAGGAAGATCTTCCGTCCGATGATTCACTCCCCAAGTGAGCGCAACGGCCGATGCTATGCCGATCTGAAGCCAGGATCCAGGAGCCTCTTCTGGGTGTCCCACACGGGTGCAGGGTCCCAAGGCTTTGGGCCATCCTCAACTGCTTTCCCAGGCCACAAGCAGGGAGCTGGAAGGGAAGTGGAGCTGCCGGAATTAGAACCGGTACCCATATGGGATCCCAGTATATATTGTTTAGATCCCTCACGAGGTGTCAAAACAAGATGGCGAAGTGTTCCACTGCGTTCCTCCCTTCCCCGCCAGCAGCCTTTGGGTGTCCTTCAGTCTCAGACTCGCTTTCCTTTCACTATTCCCTAATGCTGTCAGGCCGGTGCTGCTGACTCAACTTCCTTCTCCAGTTCACTCCAATCCTGCAATACATCTTATCTTTCATTAGGAGCTTCCACGAACTTTTCACATAGCCTGCATCTCATGCCTACAGTGCAGCCCCAACCAGGATCAACCTGCCTCATCGCGGCTTGTCCAAGTTCCCACGATGCTGCCCCACTTTAAGACATGGTGCCACCATGTCCAAGGGTTCGACTGCAAAAATCTCACCTCTAGTCTCACCTGGGTCCTCGACGGCCTCCAGACTCTGTTGGCAATTCCTTCTCCATCTCTAGTTAGTTTTTATAGATTCTTCATGTTGTCCAAGTCTCTAAAATCATTTCAAAGCTGTCTAGCTGCCCCCCAACTCCTCTTATTCCCAGTGAACAATCCCATGTGTAATCAGGCTCCCAAAGGCTTTGGGTCTACCAGGTGCCCCTGCCTATCCCGGCCTTAGGCCATCCAACAGAAATCAGGAAATTTATGAGTTCATCTGCTTCTCTGCAGCCCTCTTTTTGCTTTACAAAAATAACATGCGGGTGCGGCACAATAACCTAGTGGCTAAATCCTCGCCTTGCCGGTTCGTGTCCCAGATGTCCCGCTTCCTTTGCAGCTCTCTGCCCGTGGCCTGGAAAAGCAGTAGGGCATGGCACACAACCTTGGGATCCCACACCTACATGGTAGACCCAGAGGGAGCTCCTGGCTCCTGGCTTTGAATCAGCTCAGCTCCTGCTATTGTACTCACTTGGGGAGTGAACCAGTGGACAGAAGATCTTTCTGTATCTCCTTCTCTCTGTAAAACTGACTTTCCAATAAAAATAAAATTTTAAAAAAGTCTATATTATGTCTAAAAAAGGGGGGAAGGGAATGGCATGCACCCCATTCCTAAGATAGGAAAGTTGCTACTTTTGACTCTCCTCTTTAATCCTCACACCCAGGCTATCAAGTTCTGATGATTTTATTCCAAGACATTCCTCACTCTTCACTTCTAATGTCACTAGCTACCTTCCTTACCTGAATTCTCCCCTATGTCTTAACTACACAAGTGAGTGCTAACCCAGGTTATACATAGGAGTTGCCTGGGGAATCGTGAAAACTCCCAATGATCAAGATTGAGACCAATGACATCAGAGTGTCTTGGGGTGGGACCAAGGCATCAGTTTATTTTTTGCAGATAGCCATGAGCACACAGACTAAAAAGAAGTCTTGATGCCAAGCAAAAACAAAACAGAAGCAAATCCACAACACAACAGGTTAGAGTGAAACTATAAAGTCTTAAAAATAGAGGGAAAAAAATCAGGGAAAATATACTGAAGTGAAATGTAGGCCTCCATTGAGGGAAACAAAACTACACTACGGGCCTACTATGTGCAAAGTGAGATGACAAGAAGATAATGCGTTAAAAGTTTTCGAAGTGCTGAAACACACATCGCAAACCTACAGCTTCCTAAATTGTTCTTCAGGAAGGAAACAAACTTTTTCAGAAACACAAAACCAATACTGTGTTATTCACAGACCCCTGGGAAGAATTAGCTCCCCATAATATACTTCATTATAAAATTGAGTGAGCCAAAGAGAGTACAGAAGTATCCAATGACATTGACCAAGTCCCATTGTGCCCAAGAAATAGAAGATCTGTGAAATGAATGCACCACACTGAGAGTTCTCAATAGCCTTAATAAAACAAAAGAGCTCAGTGCAAATAAAGTTCAAAACCAAAGCATTAACTGGACTCCAGCTGGTTAAATGTATTGTTTTCTTTTGCTTTTGTAGAATTCAGTCCTGATTTCACTTATCCATATTTATATACTTTTAAATAAAAACAGCAAGGAAGCCCTGCTCATGTTAAAGACGTTTGCCATTCTCTTTTACTGCCAAAAAAAGGGGGGGGGGGAGAAGGGGGAAGGTTGCATATTTACCAAAATAGCAAAACAATTATCTTGCCTCTAATTTCCTTTTTTTTTCCCCCTAGATAACCAGAAAATAGTTCAAGAACTTCAATAAGAGGCCAGCACTTTGGCATAGTCAGTAAAGCTGCCAGCTTTGGTACCAGCATCCCATATGGGCACATGTTAAGATTCTGGCTATTCCACTTCTGATCCAGCTCCTTGCTAACATGCCTGAGTACGCAGTGGAGGACTGCCCAAGTGTTTAGGTCTTTGTGGGAGACTCAGAAAAAATGTCTAGCTCCCAGCTTCCTCCCGGCTCCAGCTGTTCCAGCTGTTCCAGCCATTGGGACCAGCACATGGAAGATCTCGCTCTGTCTCTGTTATTCTGCACTTCAAATTAAAAAAATCTTGAAAAAGGTAGCTGAAATAACAATCATTCAGTCAATTCTACTTAGTTCCCTGTTACCATCCTTGCTTAATTTTATTAGATTAATACATGTTAATTTTATTAATCATGAATCAACGATATTAAATTCTAAGATTTACCACAAGGAAGAAAAAAAAAGACTCAGCCAAGAAGATAAGTTACATATTTAATACATCTTGCTTTAACAGCAATTTTCAAAGTAAGCACATCGTAGACCTTATAACTTATTAAAGATTTTACAATGCTTACAAAGTTTATTCTAAAAATATACCTTATTTGTTCTAAATGAATAACATTATCTAGAAGATAGAATAATAAATTATAGTAGCATGTTTACCACCACTATCTTTATGGTCATGTACACATATTCCAGATGAAATCCTATCTTAGGATTTTTTACACTGTCAGCCTGAAATCATAAAAGCAGATTACAGTTTGGCATATACAAGATTTCAGTCTGATAGCAATTGTTTAAAAACACAAACAACCTGAAGTATCTAGTCAGCAATCCAGGAAAGCATGGGTACATGCACATCCTTAGCGCATGCTCATTCTCTCTCTTACACACACTCACACACACAGCGCCCACATGTGCGCACACGCACACACACCAAAATACTCAGGAGATTCTGCCCTTGTGCCTCAGGCAGTGTCACCAGCTACAAAAATAAAAACTGGGATGACAAATTAGCAAAGAATATGTCTAAACCATACTTCAAAATGGGCTAGTTGGTGGAAAGATGTGCCCAGAATTGTTACCAAGATCTTTATCATGCACTGAAAGCCATCTTAAACATTCATTCTTAAGCAGACTTGAATTATTCACTAACGGACATGTGTATACATAAGAAGCCATGTAACCACCCATTTGCCATTAGTGGATAAGGTAAGGCAGAGAATCCAGGCACGCTAATGACTGAGCCCAGAGAAAGCGGTTTGTTTCCTAGAACCCAACAGACTATAAAACCTAATGGAATTAGAAACTTTATTTGATCTGTCCAGAGTTTCTTATTCTGTTCCATGTGCAAGGGTAATGAGACTCTGCATGGCAAGTGCAAGCTTTGTGGTAGTGCAGAAGGCCAATGGGTATTTTCAGAACATATTTATTCTAGCTACATTCTCTAATGGTATCTATGTTTAATTACATAAGCTCTTCTGAATTTCGTCATGAAGCAATTTAATACATGGACAACCTCTCTCAGTCACACAGTAAAATCTGTTGAAACAGAAAATGAGTCTTTGGGTTCTCTCCAGCAAGGTAGATATGAAAACACTCCGTGGAAGTTCATCTTCAGCTGGTATTAAAATACACAGAAGTGGCTGGAACAACATTAAAGCAAAAACTAACCACACATCAAGGCTTTTGTTAAGTCACACTGCTGTGATCAGAAGAATAAAAAGGTTCAACAGCAACAGAAAGAGAAAACACCAGCTTCCCATTTGTTCTTGTTGGACAGCTGTTTCTTTTTTCTTTTTGGCTTTCATCTTGTTTTATTTCATTAAGTGTATACATTGTTCAAAGCACTGTTATACTCTGCATGGCGGTAAGAACATTTTGGCACATCAACATTGTGATACAATGTATGGCATGTTTAAAAAATTAATTTAGAAATTTGATCTATTAATCAACTTTTTAATGTAGTGCACATATATCTTACAGTTATTTAGGTCAGATACATAGTTTTATAACTGATTTACAGATGAAGCAATCACAGATTGCAATAATAACATATGTGTGTATACATACATACAGACATACACCAATCAAAGAAAAAACTGCTTCCTGGCAATTTCACAGTCCAAAGTTTTGGCGTTATATCTATAATTTACATGCCCTTTTCTTCTTGTTTTTCTGTAGAAAAGATATATTTTTGCCTTCTTCATTCCTGATGAGATTTTTCTGCGATAACTTTACATTCATACTGCAAAACATGAGAAGGTGAACGGGTTAACCTACAGATTCAGACTCCTCCTGAGTAGCAATTTCCAAATAAAGCACTGGACTTTGAAATGAATACTCGTTAACATTTGACCATTTTATTTCTCAAAGAACTTGTGAATTCTACCATTACCAGGATTAAACGAAAATGTGATAGGGAAAAAAGCTAATTCACATTCTAGAAGTGTAAGGGCCACGGCCAAAAGCAAGAGAAGAGATGAGGCTTCCACTTTACGAGCAAATGAGAGCCGGGCATGATTTAGACCAACCCCCTCACAGGAAGGAGGTCACGGAGTGCGCAGGCAAGCAAGTCAGCAAAGGCTGGAGCACCAGCCTACAGGCAGTGCAGTGCGCTCACCTTAGGAGAGGAATCAAAAACTGCCACCGCAAACAGGATGGATGCTCACAACACAAAACAAAGAAAACCAACGCAGCCAGGATAACTGACTGGGTGGCAGCATTCAAACAAAAGAAGAAAACCACTCAGTTCTCCTAAAACTGTGCAAGCAGCAGCAGCACTAACTCATAAGATTGCTGGGGGTATCCACAGCGTCCTTTTCCTTAGCAGTTAACATGATCAAACATTTCAACTTGCGGGAGGCAGTCTCAATTCTTATCTGTGAGAACATGGCTACTGGTAGTGCCTCACCTTATTTTTGAAAAGATTTTTATTTTTATTGGAAAGTAAGATACATAGAGAGGAGGAGGAGAGACAGAGAGCAAGTTCTTCCGTCTGTTGATTCACTCACCAAACGGCTACAATGGCCAGAGCTGAGTTGACCCAAAGCCAGCAGCCCAGAACCTCCTCCAGGTCTCCCACGTGGGTGCAGGATCCCAAGACCTTGGGCGTCCTCCACTGCTTTCCCAGGCCACAAGTAGATGGGAAGCAGGGCCACTGGGATTAGAACCAGCACGCCCATATAGGATCCTGGCACATGCAAGGTGAGGACTTTAGCCTCTAGGCTACTGTCCCAGGCCCCTCATTTACTTTTATAATTGTTCATTCCAACAGACTAGAAACGTGTTAGTATATATTTCTATCTATATATTCCTTTCCCACACAGTTAATAAATCGTGTTGATCTGATTACCACTTTTTTGGGGGCTTTTCTTTCCAGTGACCTCTTAACTTTTAATGTACTTCCTAACAATTTATTTTAATGAAAGTACAAAAGAGAAATCAAAAGATATTGTCCTCAAATATTGCATTCATATATTGATTGAAGGAATAGCTGCCATTTAGAGAAAATCTGGCATATATCTCACCCAGGAAAGTGTAAGCATCTGCTTACCATTGCCAGTTGTCGACCAATGTTTCCCATTGTTATGCCTCCAGCAAAAAATATACAGGGTAACCATGAACGGACGTAGAGAAAATCTGGAGAAGTGTATCTACAATAATAGAAGCATTTTTTAAACAACCCACAGAGGAAATGCAGAGACATCAATACAATGACAATAAAGTATTCTGTAGAGTAAACCGATTAACCCAATCCCCAACTCTGAACCCTGAAACAGTGACCAAACAGGACCAAAAAGAATACTTACTGATAAACACCATTATAAACTAGCAGCTGAGTGACCACGGTTGCCAAGAAAGCGATTCCTACTCCAAGGCCAAAACCACTTCTAGATCTATCAAAAGTCCACCACAGTCCAATGGATAGTGCGGCCAGTGTGAGAGACAACTGGATGTTGTTATCAAAATCCACTTTCTGAGATCGCTGTTAAAGAGTTGTCTTAAAACTTGCAGCCACATATAACCTGCTCATTTTTCCAAAATAAGAGATGCTACAGATGAAAAAAAATTGCTTATTCTTGAATATATCTAGTTTCTAAATATAATGTATGAGAACTAAGTGGGATTAAAATTTCCCCTGGCATTCACTAAATATTAGATCTATCAAGGACATTAGTTAAGCAGACTGTACTGACCTCCATTTATATCAATCTTTACATAAATATAAGGTCAAGTCCATTATTTACGAAATTCTTTCTTTGCTAAAAGTTTAAAGGCAAGCCTGAGAACACAGATAGTACTAAAAGGATATGTTTTTTTTGTGAAAAGAGGAAGCCAGTATTGCTTCTCAAACAGGTTTGAATTCCTTGAGAAGCATACAGGAACTTGAAAGCGCAAGAGCTGCCAGCCATTTAATAGGGCACCACATTCTCCGCATGATTTACTGACAGACACATTTTATAATAATGCAGTTCAGAAACAAGAGGACCAAGGACACCATAGCCCTTTCTATTATGTCAACTGTTCTAGTTTTAATTTGTTGAGGCTGAAGCCTTGAAGCGGGCATTATCTTGCAACCTGCCGAGCTATTTTGGTGCCCGAGACTTTCTGGTTTAGCACAGTTTGCTCAGATGCTATTTTATTTCTTTCACTTATTTAAATATCCACTTACAAATGTACTTCCTATTTCCCTCCCCACCAAAAAAAAAAAAAAAAAATCTCTGGGCAAACTGAAGCTTCACAAATTCAATTTTCTCATTTCTTTGCTAGAGGATTACACTAAAGGAATTAATTTTTAGTGGCATTAAAAGCGCATTATCCACGTCCCAGAGGCCATATCTTGGCTCTCTAACCAGCTCCTGGGTAGCAGGGGTTCCTATATATCTTGCCAGTTTTACCAGCCCTGCTGCAACTACAGAGGAGTCCCAAAAAATATGCACACAAAGGATCTTCAAAGAGTACACAGAAAATGTGCATTATGGAAGAAAAAAAATATTTTTAGCAAAATTAACATATTTTCTAATTGCATTTTCCCAGAAACTTCTTGAAATTCCCTCTTAGAAAGAGCCACTTTCTGATTCCTGTAATACCTCAGTGTCTGTCCCACGGGACTCTGAATACCCAATTTGCTTACTTGTTGACATCTGGGGGTTCAGGGCCACTTCCTTCAAGATCATTCCTTGTTGAAGCACAAATCATCAAGAAACCTACCCTTCATGTGAGTATGCTTTCCAGAAAAGCTTTTTACATTTTTAACACTGTCATTACCCAAATACTTAAACTCCAAAGAGAAGGTTTTGAGCTCTGATTTCTTTATACAATTAACATCCATATAAATGGTTGAATGTGGTATTAACTGAGTCCTGTGTCTGCCTTCTAAGCTAACTGCAACAACGAGGCGTCCAGGGTAAACAAGAGAGACACGACATGCTTTAAAGTAGTACAGGCTGAACAGATCTAATCTGAAAACCCAAAATCTGAAACAGTTTGAGAACAGAGTGGAAAATCACTTGATCTCATGTGGTTGGTCATTGTCCAAACACAGATGCACTAAACATAATAATAATAACAACATTCTAAACTATGTGCATAATATTGATATGAAACGTGAATTTCTGATTAGATTTGGGTCCCATTGCCAAGATATATATGTGCAAATATTCCAAAATTCAACATTTCAATATCTGTAGTCTCAATCCCTTCGGATAAGGGAGCTTCTTATGTCACATGACTTTTCTCACATGTAGGTAACAGTAGAGGTCTATGCTGGGATTTAAAAAACAGTTTGTATTTTGCTTACAGGACAACAGGAACAGCAATGACCTGTGTAACTATTTCATTGCGAAAGAAAGAAAAAATAAACAAAACAAAGAAATTAAGTTTTAAATATGAGCTTTTTATAAGTCCACTACAGGCCATTTAAATTACTACTGAAAAACAGAAGTGACAGGCTAATATTTCTGTGACCGAGTGAGCTAACCATCAGCGTGTGGAGTGTGCACACCCACAGGAATCCCAGGTTGGACAAGGGGACATTGCTGTGGTCCAGGTCAGCCACGGCCTGGCCCAGCGTGGGTGAGGACTCAGCCACTCTGAACCACCCCGATTTTGATTGGCCTTGTTCTCCTTACACAGAGAGCATGGAACCAGACGATCCCTACCTTCTCATCTGAGCAGTCTAGGCAAACTGTCCTAACTACTTGATTTGATTCTAAGATCCTAAATTTCAGAATATTCAGTAAAATAAACATGATGGGAAACTCTTCAATACAGAAGGGAACACAGTGCCAAAATAACAGCAACCCCTGAGAAAGGCATATGCTTGGGGCCCTGCATCTTTCCACGGGCTTCTGTTTCTCCACAGCTAATACATCTAAATCGTGGGGTGAAAGACACAGGCTTCTATCTGCCATGTACCCCACCTTGTCTCCAGCTAACACTGCCAGTCCCGAGCTCAGTGCATAGCCACAAGAGCAAATATCTGGCACCTGAGTCACACTTCCCGCTTTTGGCTGTGCCCAAGATGCCTACAACCTTCACTGTCTGAATCACATCTTGCAGGAAAAAAAAAAGATCGGACTGGTACTTCCCAGGGCCTCCTCCACAGACGGAGTCAGAGAGGGTGGGCAGAGGATGGAGAAGGGGATACAGTATAAAAGCGCAGGATGACAATCTTGTCCAACCGTGATGATCTGAGGGTGAAAGACGGAATGGGGAAGGGAAATGGAGGTCACGTGACCCTTCCAGCTATGACACTGCAAACAGAAATTCTCAGTCGCTAACAACCAGTATTTTAAATAACCCAACTTTAACAACAGGCACTTTAGGAAAAGGTTATTTTTGGCCAAGTTGGCTATTTCTACCTAAGCCACCTCTTTAAGAATGCTATGTGGTTTGTTGGCACTGATTAAAATTAATAATATTAGAGCATGCCTTGGAAAAAAAAAATGAACATCTCTTTAAACTAAGAGAAGTAACAAACAAATAAGTAAAACAACAGCACCTGAAGCTACCACATGTCTTTATTGGCAAGTACTTAATTTAAAGAAAAAAAAAAAAAAAGAAAGAAAAAAGGAGGAAAAAAAATCCATTTGAAAATGTTCTTTTCTCTGTTCTACAATTACTGAAGACAGAATGGAAATAACCAAGCAACCTAACTCAAGACAAACAGGTACATTTGTTAAATGTGCAGAGTTGCTCGGTGATAGGGAAAAACAGGGATTCAAGCTACAGGCGGGGACCTCTGCTAGTCGCACAGCTGCTACCTGGGCGCTGCCACAGTCTGATTCAAACGCTTCTTCTGACTAAGTGGGCATATCACAGTTTGACAATAGTGAAGTTGTAAGGGGCTGTTTAACCTTTGGTTTTGTCGGCAGCTGCTTTTATTACGCATTTCATTATGGCATAAAGGATACAGCGCTGGCGTGATTTATACCAACAAAGACGGCTACACACCGCATTACACTCGACCACTCTCTTTTAAATTTATGTGGTTCTCCTAGGTGCCTGTCAATGCAGGGGTATAATAACCCAATCACGGCTGTGGAAAAAAAAAAAGAGAAAAAAATTAAGTTATCTCCAATGTTGTACCGACAACACTTAAACTAAAAGATTCATTACAACTACTGTGTTCATTAAACTAAAAGATTCATTGCAACTACTGTGTTCATCTTAAACAGTCTTAAAAACAAAACGACCAAAAAGAACTCTGGTTACTCAGCATCAATAACTGGGTTGTTTTTAAACTTACCTCTCAAAAGAAAACTAAATAAATAAAGAGGATAGCACAAGTAAAGAAAGTATTATAAATGACTGCAACAGTATACCAAGATACAACTAAGTGCATGACTCACAATTTAACAGATCGGACTGGATGACTCACACCGCCGTTTCTACTACCAACACGCAGACTTGAAAAGCATCAAGTCAGCCCTCAGGTAAGCAATGTTCTCTGTAAAGGACATTACCATTAAGCATGCTATTAAATGCCACCAATCCAATGGGAAGCTAGAAGCATGAACACAGAGCTTAGCAGACACACCGCTCCCAAAGACTTGGGTCATCTGTTCTACAGACTGACCTCACCTTTCTCAGCTTCTTCTGGAAAAAAATCCCATATCTCCCACCTTTTCCTGACTCTCCTTTCCACCCTAGCCGTCCAACAAGCTTGTGGGGTACTTGGTCAAAGCAGGGAATTTAAATCCCAAACTCATTTTGCACACAGGAAAAATATAAAAGCCTGATCTATAGGAATCACAATTTTTTAGCTACAATGGGAGTTCACAGTTGAAAGATAAAAGGAAAGCATCACAGTGTATCTGCTGGTTTTTGAAAAGACATCTTGAATGCTGACTGTTGAGATTAATAACAAATGCAGTAATGGTATACAAGGTGTCTAAGATTCAAAATCATCCACCCCCCTTTCATATGCTTACCAAACCTCAATATTTTATTCATTTAATGGGAGAGGATTTTAAATGCTGAGTCATAAAAAAGATTAATAATTGCACACTATTATCATATGTCAAATGATCATACTATATTCCATAAATATCCACACATATTATGTGTCAACTTAGAGGAAAAATTACTTAACGAACGAAACATTCTTGCACAAATTATGAGGAAAATGTATTTCTATAGCTTAAATTGAACAGGAAATGGCCAGGCAGCTTTCATTTGCTAATCTTCCTGAAAACAAAATGATTATGCCTGCCACTGTGGTTATGAAGACAAGACCACAACGCCAGTTGAAAGCATGCTGAAAATAACCAAAATCACCTATGATGAATCATGAAGTTATTTTTGCCAAAATCTAAGCACCTCCACCCCAGCCAACTTGTCACTGGCCGGCTATGCCTCACAAACGATGCAGTCCGACTTCAAAGATGAAGGGAAGACAATTAATACAACAACCAAGCACAGCGAGCACACCCAGTCCTGCATCAGGAGGCGAAATGCGACCATGACTTACGCATTTCTGAGCCAACAACTCTTTCTGAGCCAGGCACTTGCCGAGTATAGACAGCTCTCGGACCGTCAAGAAACAAACAACAAATCTCAGCTGTGTGGGGCTCCAGCAACTGCTGGCAAATGTAGAAGTTTCATGTTACACTCCTGTTTAAAAAGACTGCGCTCTACAATCCTGTGAGGGTGGCTGACAGCGTTTCTCAATTTCTACACAATTAACATGGCAACAGGCATACCTAACAGTTGAAAGGTACCTCAATGAAGATTACCTCTTTTCTTTCTCCAGGGGTCATGAAGCTAACAGTTCACCTGTCATTCCTTCCACCGCCCCCACCTTGCTCTGATTCTCTCTCTGCCTGTTGCTGAGTAAAATCAACCATGAGCAAGCATTCCAAGTCAATTTTCCTCAGCAGCTGATGCCACAGGTAAAGAATTATCACATAGAGAAAGCACTGACATGTGTGCAAGGGTATGAATAAGTAACACTGACTCTATTGGTATGCATGTGATGTCAGACTCGCAAGGGAGAGACAACTGAGGAGAGAAAGCAAAAACACAAAAAGGAATTTAAACTGCCAAGCTGCCAACCTTGGGGTTTGCCAATAAACATCAAATCCATTGAGTATGCATGCTTCTCAGTTGCTCACTGAGGGAGAATTCCAGGAAGCTTGTCACTTCCCATTAAACGTCTTCTTTCTTCCCTTTAAATTAAGGCATGGAACAGTCTGATAGCAATATATACGTGCAGCACTATGGAGTCCCACTGTCCGAGAGCTCGGCTTCTTTGCCTCTTCCTGCACAGACTTTTTTTTTTTAAGCAAGAGAGATGATTAAAATCATGTCTGTGTAAAATCATATGCAAACACAGTCCTGCTTAATCAGATGGTTCTCCAATGCAAAACTCCCACCTTCCTTGTGCAATCTTGACAGAATTTCCCAGTGATGAGTTACAATCTACTAAAGACAAGCAAACCAAGTTTGCAAACCACCAGGAGTCAAGTCACCACTTTCTCATGGGAGTCAGTGGGCAGGGGCAGGGAGGTTCTAGAAGGAATACAGATAAACTAGACATTGTGCAAGAAAAGAGGGGCTGAGAAAACAAAACCACCCAAGGACACAGGGTCATGGAATAAGATGACAACTGAGATAGTGTTTTCATTCAATGAATATTTCCCCACTTACCCTTCCCATTCTCTGGTGCCTGCTACTCACTGAGACTTTAAACAGGGGAAAAAAAAAAAAGAGGATGACACGAGTCCAGTGGCAGAGCACCCAAGCTCGATCCCCTGATAGGGGAGCTCTGACAGGTTCGTCTTCTCCCTGCCTGTGTGAAGGGGAGAGAGGGCGCTGCAGTGTCAGGAGGCTTCACGGGACACATGACCCTCCAAGCAGGAGCACTGGGCAACGGCCTTCTCACCAAAGGAGGCTTTCCAGGAAAAGCAAAGACAGCCAAGATTAGCAGAAAATGTCAATGCTGAGACAGCATTGGAGGTACAGGATCCAGAATGGGAGATAAAAGGAGGCAAGGTCCTTATCATAAAGAGCCTTCTGTCAGGAATGAAGGAGGAAGGAAAGGAAGGAGGGAGGGAGGAAGGAAGAGAGAAAGGGAGAAAAAGAAGGAGGAAGAGAGGAAAGAAGAGAGGAAGGGAGGGAGGGAGAAAGAAAGGGAGTAAGACAGAGAGGGAGGAAGGGAGGGAGGGAGGCAGGCAGGCGGGCGGGCGGGCAGGCAGGCCAGCCTCTTAGAGTGAAATCAGCAGACAAACAACCTTCCTGTCTCTCTTCCTCTCTGTATATCTGACTTTCCAGTGAAAATAAATAAATCTTAAAAAAAAATATCAGGGAACAAAGAACGTGAAAGCAAAGGAAGTGTGCTGGAGTTCTCTGCTTCTTCCTCCAGAAGCATCACTAGCAAATCTTTGACATCTATGCTATAGGGAAAGATGGCAAAAAGCCAGGATCCATCCTTTCATGGGTAGACAGTGGCGATTCTGTAGGCCCTTGCAAAGGCATCCACTAGGTCTAGGAATGTTTGTTGGACATAAAATGGAGATGGGCACCTAGCATAGCAGGTAAGACACTGTTTGGGATAACCACAACATATGTCAGAAGGCTTGAGTTCAAGTCTTTCCTCCCTCTACTCCCATACCAACTTCCCACTCACATACACCGTGAGATGCAGCAGCTGATGGGCCAAGTAACTGGGTCCCTGCCACCCACATGTGAGACCTGGGTTAGGTTCTGGCCGCAGTTCCCACAATGCCCAGCTCCAGTCACTGGGGGCATTTGGTGAACTAACCAGATTGGATATCTGTTTCTCCCCCTGTCTCAAATAAATCATCAAAGACGAAAGGATGATTACCCACTATTCTGACTTAAGCTGGTTAAGAACCTAGAGGTGCAGAAATGCATACCAACACATATACACAGATGTATACATACTACATACATGTACAACTCATACACATCGTGTTTCTGATGTCAGTTCCTCCTCCTACATGATTCTTTCTGTAAAATGACAATGGTGGAGGCTGAGCTTAGGCTAGAATCCACTTTCCATGTCTGCCAACTTTCACAAATCTCTTGTCTTTACTCCTGTATTCTAAGCTCAGGACAATAGATAGTAGACAATAGACAGACAATAGACAGAGTAGACAGTAGATAGTGGAGATAGGTACAATAGGTAGTAGAGTTACAGAAATCTAGATATCCCGATACCACTCTACTTTCTTTTGCCCAGGTACTTTTAAAAAATGCACTACTCTCAGATCAAACAAAGAGAAGTGGGAATGCAAATTCCCCAAATGAAAAGGCATGCAGTTAAACATCTAACTGTGACAAACCTAGAGACTGGCGAAAGGAAAGTAAAATAGGGACAGAGTGGCTGAACTCTAACATAAACCTTGGGAATTCTCCTTCCTAAATGTGAATTTGAGGCACAAGTGCGCACATCCCAAGGATCAAAGGTTCAGGCAGCAGAGGCAATCCTGGTCCACTCGATAATGGAGGCACAGATGACCCCTCATTCATGTTCTCCTGCCCCAGCCCAAACACGTAGCACGTGCCCACGTGGCCCTTCCAGAACGGGCAGCCAGTCTGCTGGCTGCAAGAGGCGTGTCTTGTCCCTCTTCCTCCACCTCAACCCCAGCAATTGCTGGCTCAGGATCCTCCACTCACTGATTTCTCTCACCTCCATTTCCTCACTCAGTCCAAAGAGGAACAGTGCCATCCCTCTCTCTCCCACAGCTGCCCCACACAGGCCTGAGGCTAAGAGACGCAGCTGGAATGTTGACAGATATTCAACAGGTAAGCGTCTGCTCCCCTGCCCCGCATCCCCGTCAACCTTTTTGTCTATTCTGAAAAATCATTCTCTAGTAAGACCCACAAAGTTTGTGTTGCCAGCCAAACAGACACAACACTTTAGGTGGAAATAAAAGAACTGGAAAAAGGTAGCTGGGAAAACTTCTTCTCTTCTGAACTTACATAAAAGAAAGGAAAAGATATGAAGACAAGCAGCTACAACAGAAAGTGATAAAACATGATGTATGCTTTCTGGACTGATAACCCTGGGAACAGTAAGAATCACTGTTTCTGATGTCTCTTTTAACATGAATACTATGACAATGAGACATCAACACGAAGCCACACTGAAACTTCACCACAACACGTGCCTTCTGACCATGCAATGGGACTATGCAAATACCCAGCTAAGGCTCCATGAGGTCCTTTCCAGAGATCTCACAACTTCAGACCCGCCCTTTTGAAGTCACCCTTCAACCTCCACTTAGGATCTACGTCGGGAAGGACCTGCACTCTGCTGTAAGGGACTCAGGTGTATGGAGTAGGAGACACCAGACAGACATCCCACAAAGCAATCAGAATTATCTTGAAGAAGAGGATTCTTTAATCAGGATTATCCTCTCAAATACTTGTATGTCTTCTTACTCTATTATATAAAGTGGGATTGTTCTACGGGCCTCACTCATTAGAAAAAGCTTAGCAACACTAAAGTTCGAAATAGTCCCAGTGGTTGAATTGAATTGGGTTAACTTTGTTTCAAACTTACTTGGTGTCTGAGCATTCTGGAATGCTTCATTTTTTCTATGGCATACTATCCATTGCCCATCTCTATCTCACCTCCCCGAAAAAAGACCCAAAGTAAAAAATAGAATAACAACTATTTTAAGCAGATTGTCTATCCAATCGTCCTCTTTAAAGGTTTGTTATATTTGAGTTGCACATAAAAAACAAAACACCAAGTGGAGAAGTCTATACAAAAATCTAAAAAATACAAACATAAAACTTTAAAACCGAATAAAAATCATTCTAGTTTTCAAGCTTTTATCTAGTTCTAAACCACAGCCCATACACAAGACCCCTAAGACCAAAAATGATCATTACCAAGGTAACTTAAAACAAGGAAAGAAGAATCGTCGTTGAAGGAAGAATTAAAGAGGTCGAATGCTGCATCACTTATTGTATCAGAATTATTTTTAGGGTTACATTTTCAAAGTTACCAGATCAGCTAGAACCCAGAGACAAAAGAAGAGACCCTCTGTGATTCCACTTGTATGAAATTCCAGAATAATCCATGGCAAGAGAAGGCAGCTCAGCGGCAGCCCTGCGCGAGGAGTGGAAAATGGACCGTAGGAGGACACGTGGGAATTTGGGGAGTGATGGCAATGCTCTCCAGCTGACCTGTGGGAGTCGGGAAGTGACTGTGTGTACGTGTCTAACCATCTCAGCCTGTTCACTTAAGATAGGTCCAGTGCACTCCATTTAAATGATGTCTCAATGAAAGCTGGTCCTGTAAAACGTTTGGCACATGTCACATCCATTGGTCCTATTTCCTTTCTCATCATTACAGAAACACCCTGCACATACCTGAGGCTGTGCCACAGCATGGGGGTACCCACCATGCCGAAGAAAAGATGCTTGCAATCACATCAGGTGGAAAGAGCGTCACATTTCTCTGAATCTGCAGTAAATTTAATACTAACGCCAGAAACACTCCAATGAAAAATAGCACTACGCCTCGAATCATCAAGTTCACACTCTGGCTAGTGACAGACGAGATATATGGGCCACACTTTTTGGGCCCCAGTGACTCTGTCTCTCCTTCCGCCATGGTTTCATAAGTTCAGTAAGCCGGTGTGGGCTTCCTAGGTGAGAAGCTGAACTTTGACTCAACGCAGACTGACGTTTGAACGGCACCACATGGCGTCCTCGAGTGGGACCTACCAGAAATCCTGCAAAGGAGAAGAGGAGAGAAATCAGCGTGTGTTTTTTTCTGATTTCTATATCAATTAAAAGAACAATAATGAAATGACAATCATAGATAGCTTAGTTAAATTACTGAAGGCTTATATACATGACGTAATAAGAAAGTACTACATTTACTTGGACAAAATAATGCCCAAAGAATGAAGCAGAACAAGTAAGTTGAGACTTTCCTATCAGAAAGATTAAAACCCATGTCTCTGCTGCTTCTACATCTCCAAGCTTGTCAGTTACAATGGAGTGTTTTACACTTGGCAGAAACTCAATATGGTCTGGCTGAAACATGTTGGATTTTTCACATTAAAATGAGACTTGTGGTGCCCAGAGCGGTAGCCTAGTAGCTAAAGTCCTCGCCTCGCACATGCCAGGATCCCATATGGGCGCTGATTCTAATCCCGGCGGCCCTGCTTCCCATCCAGCTCCCTGCTTGTGGGCTGGGAAGGCAGTCAAGGACGGCCCAAAACCTTGGGACCCTGCAACTGTGTGGGAGACTCAGAAGAGGCTTTGGGTTTCTGGCTTCAGATTGGTTGAGCTCCAACATTTGTGGTCACTTGGGGAGTGAATCATCAGACGGAAGATCTTCCTCTCTGTCTCTCCTCCTCTCTGTGTATCTAACTTTCCAATAAAAATAAATCTTTAAAAAAAAAAAAAAAAGAGAGACTCGTGGGGTAGGTACTTGGCACAGCAGTTAAAGACAATGTTTGAGATGTCCCATAAACCATTTAAAGGTTCAAATCCCAGCTGCAATTCCAACCCAGCTTCATGGTGATGCATACTCTGCAAAGCACTTATGCCTGACGTCCCTGGGTCCCTATTAGCCACCTCTGAGACCCAGACTGAGATCTGCACTTCTCGCTCCAGCATGCCTAGTCCTGGCTGTTGTTCTGGCATAG